CCCCCCCCCCCCCGGGTGGGGGTGCGAGGGATCTGCAAGCGCTCAAAACGGAGTCTCGCGGACGAGAAACGTCAACTTCATTGTCGAGGACCGTATCGAGTCGTAACGTCGAAAGTACGTCGCCGCCGGCAAAGCGAAATATTTCGGCAAACGCGAGGGGGTGAGCACGTGACTCTTTCAAAGACTCGTTTTACAATGCGCTCGAGTACAGAACATTCCGCACGTATATCCCCTTCCCCCCCGTCACGCCAAAAAGCGCGAGAAGCGCTTTTTGAACGGTTTGACGCGAAATTGATAAAATCCACACAGCAAGGGGCCATATAAGAGAGGTAAATATTTGAAATTTAGTAATAACACTCCGACGTGGAATGCGCGAGTCATCCCCTTTTCACGGCGACCTCTCGTAAAGAACCGCCGCGAGAACGTGTAGGGAGGAAAAAGCAGCGCTTCGCCCCCACGCAAAAATACACAAACTCACCCTCTCCATATCCACGAAGTCGACGTCGAGCTTCGTTCCCTCCGCTCCGCCCATCTTCTCCGTCATATACTGCAAAAAATTCATCAGGCGGTTAAAATCCAGCGTAAGCACAGTCGTGAGATAAATAACACACCCCAACGACTTTGCTCCCGGAATTCCTCTCGGTGAAAGATATCAAAAAGAGTGTAAATTCACTCGAGACGAGCGTGAAACTGCCGCCGCCGTGCAAATAAAGTCGCAAGAGCGGACATTTAACTCGAGCTTAGGGTGGATTATTGATTCATACGTGTGAATATTTCCCTCGATTCAAGAGAACTTGTTTCTAGTGAGGTACAACTTGTGCGAATTACCATTAGTCTAGGTCTACAACAGGTGCTTCAAGCTCTAAGCCTTAAGAAATTGGCCAATCATAGTCGAATGTGAGGAGAATAATCGATTGTGATTAGTCAATTTCTTAAGGCTTAGAGCTTGAAGTATTTATTGTAGACCAGGACTTACGTCTTTCGAAAAATCAACTTTTTGATCAAACGAAGAAGCATTTATGGGCCTTTAGCAGCAAAGCACGGATTTTTTAATGGACATATCAATATTGTCAATATTAATATTTACTAATAAATACTGCCTCCTGGCGGTATTTTTCGCAACGTTTAGTGTAAATTTATAGCAATAATTTTTCCTGGTCAGGTTAATTGGGGAATCATGTATTAATTAGGGTCAAAACATAAGATCTTGGCATTTTTTAATTTTTCACACTAAAAAATAATTATAACTATTAAAATTTATAATAACTACTAAAATTTGGCGAATAATAATTACTAAAATTTGGCGAATATTTGCCGAGCAAATTTTGATTACTGCAACCAAATATTTAGTTCCGTATACTAAATATATAATATATAGAATTACAGTATTGTATATGCAATATATGAAACTAAATTATTTGGTTAGTAATCCAATGTTTGGTCGGCAAATATTCACTAAATTTTAATACTTATTAATAAATTCTTTTTCAGTGCGCAGATCGGAGATCTGATATTTCGGACGTATAGTAACTTCATTTTGGTTAGACCAAGAAAGGGAGCAATCTTTCTCAATTAATTTTTTTAACGCTACAGTGGTCATGTAGGTGACAGGTGTCACCCATGTGCACTAAAATGTGTTTTCCGAAAAATACCAGCAAACATCCATCTTGCACTTCCGTGTATTTCATGTCAGTTAGGGGCTGCTCTCGTCCGTTTTAAGTTATATCTTTTATAATTGTTATTTCTATATAAATAAATAAATATCGTTATTTTCTAAAAGAACTATTTTATTGAAAATGTGAATTTAAAATGGAAGACATTTGTCATTCATGTATACTAAAATGCAAAAATATTAAAAAGCATCCAGCTTACGCCATGCATTTGTCAATTAAGGACTGCTCTGGTCTGTTTTAAATCAAATATTTTATGATTGTTATCCTTGTATAAATAAATACTATTACTTTCTAAATTTCTTTATTGGAAACGTCAATTTAAAATAGAGGACACCTGTCACGTCCCCGCGATCACCTTCCAGAGTTAATGATTAATATTAAATATATAATTACAAATGAAATCAACTTTTGAGATCGAAAAAATAAAGCACATTGGATTCATTCTCCAACTTCGAACGTGCATGTTCACTCGACGATCTATAACGGAAGAATTCGCAGTACATTCGCAGTACATGAGCGAAAAGTCACTCGACTTCGAGTGACGTGCCTGTCACTCGACTTTTCGAATGGAAGAAATTTCACTCGAAGAAATTCAGAGAGTACGTCTCTTGAAATCTTCGCAAGGAAACGGTGCAGTTCGTAGAACTAATCGGCGCTCATCACGCTTCCTTACTCGACCCTAAACGCCGCTTAGATGAAACGCGATGAGCTTCGGCGCGTGTCTCTTTCTCTCTCTTTCTCATCGTGACTCGTGTATCCTGCGAAGTAATCAAAATAATCTCGGGAAGAAATAATAACAGTCCCCGAGTAGTACAATTTCTCCGTGCTGTGCGAACCGTTTACGAGCACGGAAATTGTAATTCTAAGCGGAGAGCACTCTTTGCGAGACTTCCTCTCGATATCAGAGAGACACAAAGAGATACATGTTCGAGGGTCCCAAAGGAATTCAAACGAGGCGAAGTCGAGCGCTAATTACCGTCGCCGCATAAGCGGAGATCCAGAGAAGAAGCAGCCGGAAGAAGAAAGAAAAGCTTCCTTCTCTTTCAAAGCGCTGTTAAACGCGCGTTTCGCGCGCGCAACTCGATTTCCCACCCTCGCTCAAATATTTATCCCCGGCGAGCGGCCGGAATGCCCGATAATCGGAAGAATGTCTGATTAATACGCGACGTCGTGTCCTATTAAATCGACTTCCTCGAATGTGAGCGACGCTGAACGGGAATGGCATAATCCGAGCTAATGCCGCGCGCGCGATTTATTCCCCCGCCCGATCAATGGCGTGTACAAGGCGGCAGAGGAGAGAGAGAGAGAGAGAGAGAGGAGAAAAGGGCAGGGGGGACGATGAGGAAAAGGGAAGGGAAAAGGGAGGGAGGGAGAGAGAGAGAGAGAGAGAGAGAGAGCGGACGCGCGCGCGAAGATGGTATTGCGAGGGATAATCGAGCTCGCTCGCAAAGCGGGACCTCGCTCACGGGAGAGTGAGGCGCTCTCTCCAGACAAAGAGACCCTGACCCATATCTAACGATGACCCACTTTCACGGGGGTGTGCAGGGACGTAGCCGTCAACTCGATAAACGTCATCCCGGAGTAAATTTGACCCACATCGAACGGCACTCTCGTGCAATGTCACGCTCCGCGCGAGCGTCGTGCACAACCCATGTCTCCGTGTCGTCCTTCGCAAGGGGGTGGGATTATTTCACCGGTGTTCACTCTTCTCTTTCGTCGTCTCCAATTAAGAGCGCTTCCATTCCCGGCGTCGAACGTCGCGTGGTAAATTCCACGGTAGCGTAACGTAAAAATACAATAGGTAGGTTACGTAAAAATACAATCGGGAAAGAGCGATGCGGACGCGAGATTGGAAGGCCGATCGCGCGTCGGTATTAATAACCGGCATCATGATTCTTGCAACGAGAGCGGGAGCGACTGCTCGGGGGAGAAGCTCACATTTGAAAGCGCTTTAAAGTCAGCCCGTGGTATCGCAAAACTCTTGACACACATCCGGCGGCTCTTTCGGCTTTAAAGCGCGCCGCCTTTAAAACGCTGAGACAACCTGCGCGACACCAATAGCGGATTCAATAGGTGTCGATCTAAATAAGGATTAATTGCTCGGCTCCCGCGACGGGTGCGTTCGCGCCGGCGAAGAACGGTGGCGAGCGAGCCCCAGGATCGAAATCGCCTGCCGAGAAAGCGAACGAATATGCCTCTGTGTGTGTGTGAGAGAGTGTGCGTGCGCGCGCGCTCTTTCTCTCTACACCGAGAGAAATTATAGTTATCTTCGGCCTCAACTACATCCTTTCTACGGCTTTAAGGGGGAGGATACCGATGACGAACTTGATAACCGCCGATAACGTAAGCGGCGATCTTCAAAATGTTATGTTACGCACGGAAAAATAGCACTAGATTCAAGTAAATAATTCTAACAATTATTCCAATACTTCTCAGCAAACTTTTGCTTGGATTAAGTGAATATCACTTGAACGTAGCACTTTTTTCTATATTTAAATCGAATTTACTTAATCCAGGTAAAAATTCGCTAAGGAGTATTGAAGTGATTATTTACTTCAATCTAGTACTTTTTTTCTGTACATAAATACTGACACGATCACGATATTCTTCTTATTTTTCGTATATATGTAAATTTCTCTTACGTAAATGCAAATGCGATATATATAAGTGTGAATGCGATGAATGTGCGTTACTTCTCCTATATCTAACGGAAAATCAAACCAAAATGTATAAAAATCTTTCTGCAAACTTCTCGAATCCTTTTAGGCTTATAAATTTTATTGGAAAAGTATTAGAATGTTCTTTTGGAAATTTCTCTGATTGGAGCATTGATACATTTGGTATACATACATGTTGCAGGATTTCTATGTCAGGAAACTATTTACGCTAATTTAATTAAATCTTTTTCTCTCGTCCGCTGAGAGAAAAATATTTTATATTTGTAGCTATAATTACACTGCAAACAAATAAGAGAATCATTTTTGTAGCAAGTTATTATAGCACTAGGTATGATAACCTTGTACGCATATTACTATTATACTTTTTGTTCGATTTTCTTATTAGATCAATTGACTTTTTTGTTAGATCAACAAAAAGCTATAGTTGGCACCGAAAAGACTATAATTTTAGTGACAATATTCAATTTTTTCTCTCGATATAATCAACGCCGACTTTCGCAGGCGTATTCGGTCATCGATTCGCGCGATATCAGGTCGCGATTGGGAATGCACGTCCGCGGATTATGTCCTTGCGCGCGATGCGTACTGCAAAACATACATGTCGAGGTCGGAGATTCGGAACGGAGGAGAATTCGACAATACAAATTGAAATATTTAGCGAGAAAAAGTTGGAAGAGCTTGCGTAAAACGGATTATTCTGCCCATTGTGGAATATATATCGCTGTATTGCTGATACGTGCTATTTAGCACGTATCAGCAAATGTCGGGCGTTTCAACGTGCACGACGTAACTAATTGAATACGATAAATTAAATATGTGATCAATAGCGAGCGAACGTTACTGTCTGACCATGCATTATAAAATGTATGCATTATAAATTATATTCGTTTACAGTCTCTTTCTCTCTCTCTCTCTCTCTCTCTCTCTCTCTTTCTCCGGTGACTAATTTTAGTAGAGTCTCGAAGCAAGCGGTAGAAATCAACGCGACAGTCACAACGTGTTAAATGTTAATGCAGACCTTTTTCACAAACGATCTCCATTTGACTTATAATTACAATCGTCATCGAATTTTTATTAAGGACTGGTGCAAAAGTTCATCGAATTTTTAGCCGAAGTGCCAGAATAAACAATAGTGTCCATTAAATACCGTCCAAGTGATCGCGGCCGCGAGTGCGGTAAAGTGAGATGTGATGAAG